AAAAAAAAATATATATATATATATAAATATATAGATCTATATCACTATAGAGTAATGCATTAATGAGGCTTCGTAGAGGAAGACCAAAAATGTCGGTGTCTTAAAATATATTTAATGGCAATGCAAGCGTCTTCCTGCTTTCGTGCTGAGCTCTTTAGAACGAGGACTGCACTGCAAGACAGAGTTGAATGTAAAGCGCCTGACCATTTCTGAGGTTTCGCTTCTCCTGGCTTAGCGCCACAGCCGCGCACCGGTGGTCTGAAGGTCGACTCGGTGTGTGACACGTGTCATCTAGCTGTGTAGGAGGTCCTGGCGTCTCCTCTCGGGAGGGGACTGGGACCCGGAGGGTGTGGCGCCGTGGGACAGAAGAGGGACCCATGGCGGTGAGTCCCCCCACCCCCGTCGTCCCTCCCACGGCCTAAGCGAGCAATCAAGAAGTTGGTAATATATACTGAATTTTCCTCTATCCTGTACATTTCAAAAAAAAGGCATATGCAATATTTACATTTTTAGTTTACAGAACGGAACCAAAATGTATGTTATGTTTGCAAAAAAAAAATTTTCACAATGTATATTGGGTCTTTGTACATTTTGCCTGACTTACCTTAAAGTTAAACTATTTTTTGCTATATAAACTTTAACCGTTATTAAACAGTGTTTTCTTTTGGGTACGTATTGTTTCTGATTCTGGAGATGTTAAATATATTTCTCGCTATTGTGTTATGCCCCCTGCGCCCCGTCTTCCACGCTGTACATAGGTTGGGAATGAGCCGGCTACAGTAGTGCATTGTATTTAGTCTGTATTGATCATGGATCCTCTCCTTAATAGCCATATGCAATAAATAAAATAAATACATTATTTATGAAATGAGTAAAGCCTGGAGGATGTCTTTTCCTTATGTATTCTGGAGTTAACACAAAGCTGATACACTCCTGGGATTTGGGGGTCCAAGTAAATGTTAGGCTCCTAAAAATACTCTGATGCCTTTTCATTTTAAAACTCTAATTTTATTATTTATTTACTTTTGGAGACAGGATCTGACTACGTAGCCCAGGGTGTCCTCAAACTCCTGGAGGTCCACCTGCCTCAGCTTCCTGATACTTGGGGTAACCAGCGTGGGCCACCACACCTGCTGATTTGGGGAAGGTGATTACTTACTGAGTTGCAGCGCTGTACACATGTAACCCTTTAAGATACAACTGAGATAGTCTGTAGGAAACAGTAGCAGCTGATTGTTCCTTGATAAAGACCCTCTTGTGCAGAGCATAGAGTGAAGCGGCTGCCGGCCCCTTCTCGGTAAAAGCCAAAAGCAGCTGGTGCTCATGGGGGACAGGTGGTTCTGTCTCCTCTCTGGCCCAGGTGTGCAGAGCAAGGACAGGCTGGGCCGGGGCGGGGCCTGGAGAGAGTGCCGCGGCCAGCCGGAGCGGGAGAGCTCTTCCCAGTCAGTGGCATCCCTGGAAAGGCCACCCAGAGGCAGGTGCGGAACCTGGGTTCTTGGCGGGGTGGGTCACCTGCCTTGGCTGTGGGGGGCCGTCCGGGAGGGCGGAGCCTTGGCCTTCAGCATCTCCAGAGCAGGGATGCTGCTCCCTGCCATGTCCCAGGGCTGCTCCAGTGTCACCTATCCCAGCCGAGCCCAGCCACGGAGGAAAGTCCAGGCCCTCCTTCAAGGGGCTGGGGCGGGAGGGTCCTCTTCCCTCTCCTTCTGCTTTCCTGCTTTCCCTTTCATTTGTTTTATTAGCATATGTTTGCGATGCATGATAATTACATGTGGGGAATTGATTCACACACCATGTCTCGATCCTTACCTGATTCCTTTCCCGCATCTCCCCTTGCAGCTTCCCCAGAGCCCCTTTCCTCTCCCCAAAAAGTCCCATTTCCTGCAATCTCTGTTTTGCTTCTCAAATTACTTCTATTGTGACCACGCAATACTTAAGTTTGTGCGTCTGTTTTATTTCACTTAACACTAGGATCTCCGGTTGTGTCCATTTTCCTGCAAATGACCTGACATCCTTCTTTACGGCACAGTAGTACTCCACGGTGTGTAAATACCTCATGTTCTTTGTCCATTCCTCCGTTGATGGACACATGAGCCTCTTCCGAGGCGTAGCCATTGTGAGCTGTGCTGCCCAACACACAGGCATGCACGGATCACCGAAATGTGTGCCTGTATTCCCAGAAGCCAGGGAGGTGCTGGACTGCAGGTGGGACCAAGATCTGGGCATCAGGCAGGTGGCCTGGCCTTGGACGCCTTCGTCCTTTCTTGTGCTCAGGTAGGGGGTGGCGCTGCTGGACAGGGCACTGGGGACGCGCGGGTGACCCTGGCTTCTCCCAGGCTGTGGCGCCTCCCCGAGGGAGGAGTCCCTGGGACTCAGGCTCCCGTCAGCTCATGTGCGGGTCCAGGGCTGCTCTCTAAGGAGTCCCACGGGCGGTGCTGGCCAGGCTCCTTCCTCCCCTGCCGTCCTCTCCCTCTCGGGTCCGCATGGCCACGCTGTGTTCCTTCCGCTCTGGAGTGTTGCTGAGGGGAGCCAGGCGGCCAGGCCGAGCCCCGGGAGGTCAGCCCAGACTGGGTCCCTCATGGCACCTGCCCACACCTTCCGTCTGCGCCTTTGTCTCTGGCCCAGCTGCCCACGTCTATGACTGCAGCCCCAGCTCCCCTCAGCCCAGTCAGCCAGCAACACCTCTGCCTGCTGTGGCCCTCGGAACCTGCAGGGTCCCCAGGCCCAGACACTTCCTGGAGGCATCAGCGGCCCACGCATGGGCCCCATCCCGCCATCCCCTCTGCAGCTCCAGGCGCTGTGCCTACAGCCTGCCCGACACTCAGATGGCTCCTGGGCAGGCTGCACCCGCCTCGCATCAGCGAGGCCACCGGCACACCCCGGACTTGCTGGCGGCCCAGAAAGCAGCATCCCAGCCAACTGGGCCCTCAGGGAGCGAAGCCAACCGGAAGGGGAAAGCAGTGCTCATTAGGTAACTCCTGTGGACCTGCTTGTTTGAACTGAAATGAATGGAGCGCTACTCTGCCATGAAGAAGGAAAGCGAGTCATCGAGAGGAAGATGGAGGCAGTTTGAGACCATGACGCTCAGTGACGTCAGTCACACAGCTCGTGGCTTCTCTTATGTTAGAAACCAAGGCGTAAATAAAGAGCAATCTAAGACACGGGTTAGGCAACGGGGAGAGGGATCTTTCTCAACTGGGAAGGGGACCGAGAGACGGAGGGATGGCAGAGGACGAGGAGGAGTGAAGGTGTGCTCTGTGCACGCGGAAGTGCGCTGTGGACGTGACTCAGGGACGCACTCCTGCACTCCACACAGCTGGACACGAGTTCTGGGAGTCGTGTTCAAAGTCTGGCGAGTGACTGAATGCAACGTTCATGACAGCAGAAGACACCGCCACGGCCCCGCGACCTCCCTCGCTCTGGACACACCTGTCCCGGACTTCACAGCTACTTCGGGGTGGTTCAGGGGTCCGCAGCACCCTGCTGCCCTGGCCTCTGCAAGGACTTCACCCTGGGCTTGGAGCCAGGACTCCAGGAGGGGCGGGAGGGGACGCCTGGAGTGGGAGGAAGACCCCCAGGCGGACCCAGAGGAGGGGTCGCCTGGAGCTGGCTTGGATTAACCTTCTGGGCTATCTGATAAATTCTGAGGAAGCAAATAGAGGAAGGAAGCCAGGCACAGTGAGGCTGCCTGCAACTTTTGCACTCTGGGAGGCTGAGGAAGGAGGATCAAACTCACCCTGGACTACTTAGAGTGACCCTGTCTCAAAATTGAAAAACAAATGAAGCAAGACAAAAAGGCTGGGGATGTAGCTCAGGGCAAAGATTCTGGGTTCAATCTCCAGTGCTGCAAATAAAATAAAATAGGAAGTAGACACTTTTACTTTCAACAAGTTAACAGAATGTCTACTGCTATCTAATTCCACACGCCACAATTCTGTCACTCAGGTTTTAGAGTGACCTCCTCTTTTGCATAGAAAGTGAATTTGCTTCCCTGCAGAGGACCGGCTTTCCTCACTGGTTGCATTTTAGGGTTCAGCTCACTGTGTGAGTTTTCAGTCCGGGCTTCTTGGCCGAGGCTCCTTACTGGATGCCCTCACCCGGAAAGCAAACCGGGGATCTCACACCCCCATGGTGAGTCTTCAGGCTGGGTCCTGGGCGATGCTGGAAGAGGTGCGGGTGGCAGCCGGGTTCCTTCACCGAGTGGCAGAGAAGAAGGGAGCAGAGCCCAGCTCACTTCCCAGCCACACCTGGCACGGGCATTGCAGGGCATGGGTGCTCTGTGCCTGCGGCTCCTGCAGGCTCCGAGGCCCTGGCTGCCCAGGCCGGCACCACTTCTTCCGGAGGTGAGCACAGTGTCTACAGGCCATTCCTTGGATGAAGTGACATGGCTCTGCTCAGTGCTGGGCCTGGTGATGCACACCTGTGCTCCCAACACCCAGGAGGCTGAAGCAGGAGGATTGCTGTGAATTCAAGGCCAGCCTCGTCTACACAGCAAGATCTTGCCTAAAAACAAAACAGAAAAAAAAAAAAAACCCA